CAGAATTTAGAACCTTTTCTACGTAGTATTTCATAAATGAGGTCCCTGGAATAAAAGCATCTGCTGAATGAACCTGTAGAATTGCAGAAGAGTGTTTTGTAGAAATGTTTGTGGAAACCCTGCTGATCTCTGAGAACGATGGTTCTGGATCAGGACACACCTGCAACACAAAGAGCCAACAAACCCGGAGAACCAAAGACATTCCAACAGAGAAAGCAGAGAAAACAGATTTATTTCCACAGTAACAAGCATTCAAAGCAGTTCAGGATCAACCGATCAGGATCCAAACTCACACTGAGGCTTGACTGTAATCCAGAAACAAGGGAAACCAGGTTTGCAGAGTTTCTAGAGTTCAGAGCGTTGAGTCTTTGTTCAAAGTCCAGAATGTCCGGTGGGCAGATTCCAGAGTTGCGAGTGTTTAAAGCAAAGTCTGAAGTTCTCAGGCCAGAGTGTCCAGAGCCCAACGCCTGAAAGTTCAAGGTCAAGAAGCTCTACAGTCTACAGTCCAGGGTCCAGAGTCCAAAGTGCCGAGACCAGAGAGTCCACTCTAGAGTTCAAGATCAAAGTCCAGAGTGTCCAGAGTTTGATCTGAAGTTCTAGAGTCCAGACTTTCCAAAGTCAGCTGTCTAGAGAGAGTTTTCAGTTTAGTGTCAAGAGGGTCAAACGTAAAGTCCACCAAAGTCCAGTTCAGGTCCAGGTACAGTTTAGCTGGTAACTAAAAGGTGTACAGAGCAGATCGGTCCCTGCTGGAGTGTCCCCTACCTGCTCCAGAGGATTGGACCTTCAACACCCCACAGCAGCAGGACGGGAAAATCACCAGATCCTGCTTTGATTAAAGAGTCCCAGTTTTTTCAGAGGAAAGAAACTTGCTTGGAAGTCAGGACTGGCAAACTGGGTCCTGAGCTGGTTCTGCAGGGTCCTGGACTGGTTCTGTTGGGTCCTGGACTGGTTCTGTTGGGTTCTGAAGTGATTCCAGGAGTTCTGGACTCAAGTTTCGGGTCTCAGCAATGAGGCGTTTGACACCAACCATCCACTGGCTGACCTCGGTCACATGGTCAACCATCAGAGAGCGATGGGTCTCGTCTGCCGAGTCCCAGCGACCTGACTGTAAATCTGAGAGAGAGACAGGTGAGCGTTCAGACAGGTGTGCAGGTAGGCAGGTGTCTGATGAGATAGACAGGTGTGTGGTGGGACAGGTTACCCAGAGACAGGGCGTCCATGCGTCTCCTGACAGGCAGGCTGAGTCTACCCGACCTCCAGCTGTCCTCCAGGAGGCGGAGCCGCTTTGCCACATCATTGCACACCTGATCCTGCAGACAGGTGGTTCAGAGTTAAACCCACAGAGCAGAGCAGTGGTTTCCTCCTGCTGGCCTACTGTGGTACTGCAAGTAAAACCTAAACCTGCAGCACAGAGCTCGTATCTGATTTCAAGTTCCTCTGCTCCGTCACAATGGATGTTTATTTTCTGCATACAGAAAACGTGTGAACTATAAAGTCTGATGTAGTGTGCTGCTGTTTTGGTGGCGCCCCCTGCTGCTGGGGAGGACTCAAACTCACTTTAACAGAGTGTCTGCAGGCAGCAAGTGCTTGGTTCAGCACTGACATCACATCCTGTACGTCAGGCTCTCCTTCTGATTGGCTGCTGTCGACCTCACTCTGACTTTTCATTGGTCCAAGGTGAGGAGGGGGTGTGGCCACTCCACCAGGAGGAGGTAGACCTGTGAGAAAGTTTTCAAACACCTCAGCTGTCAATCAGACTTGTTGTCATGACTACTGTATTCTCATAAAACACTTCTGTTCCTTACCTGGGTTTAGAGGGGGCGGGGCTATACCAAATGGGGGAGGGGCCTGGGGGTTGAAGGAGGGCGGGGCTGCAGGCAGGTCTCCTGCACCTTGGAACCAATCAGAGACATCATGTTTGAGGCATTAAAGACTGAGCTGGATTTTATTTACTGACATTACAACAACAACAAGAACAAGAACAACAACAGGAGCAGTCATAGTGGTACAGGTGGTGTAGTTGTTCCTGTAGTTTTGGAGTTGTTGTTCTAGTTAGTGTTGTAGTAGTTGTTATTTCAGTCAGCTGACAGGCTGATCAGCTGATCGTGAGTCGGTGTGAGTCGACAGGTGGATCAGGGCTTCGGTACCTGAGGGCGGAGCTGCTCTCTTGTTCAGGAGGTTCCTCTGTGGTCCGTGGGCCTTCTGAAGGCCGTAGGAGAACTGAGGAGGGTCGTTCCAGCCCCGCTCCTGGTTACCTTGGAAACACAGACAGTTCAGCAGGAGGTCGGTATGACTTCATCACATTAATCAGTCGTTACGTATGAAGCCAGCTCTGTGACGGGATTCAACCTGTGAGGATGGCGTTCTGCTCGACACCAGGAGCTAAAACTGAGCCTGAAAGTCTGCAGGCTGAGTTTCAACCAATCACAGGATGAGTTACAGCACTGACACATGGAGACCAAGAACCACCGGTGAAACAGAACAAACACCTCCACGCTGTTAATCGTGCTTCCTTTTGCTCTCTTCTCTTCCTCTGAGGTGATTCATCTCCACTCTGCATACAAAGGCCTACTCCGGCCACAGCGCCCTCTGGTGGCGCTCAACCATAACAACAACAAAAACACACAAAATAGATGGAAATGAGAATGTGGTGGTTCCAGCAGACGTTCCCAGAACTGAAATACGGAGACTCCACATGCTGCAGCTGGTTCACTGTTTCTAGGGCTGGACCTGAACATCTGAATGTTCCTGTGCTGGTGTCAGGACAGCAAGTTTCATCTCTGAACATTGAATCAATAAGGCATTTATGAGTGAAAGACCTCTGCTGGTGGGACTTTCTGGTTTCTGTCACAGTGAAACGAACGTTTTGGGGTTTTGGACAAAATCAGCATCTGAAGCCACAGAAATCAATCAAACCAAACCAAGCGATCAGCGACAGGGTCGATAAGAAGGAGTGAAGTCCAAACCATAACTCACATTTATCAGCATTCACGGGGTTCATTGATCTCTGTCATCTTTATTGATCATCTGGGGGCAGATCTGGAGCAGCTTTCAAATCAAACTTCTATCTCCACCTGAATCATTGATGTTTGCTGAATTATTCATATGCTGAATTTAAAACAACTCACTAGTGTTTCACAAATGATACTTTATATGCAGAACGTGGCATTTTCCTGCCTAAAACCTTGATGGAACCTTAAATTAGCAGATTTTTGAATGAAGTTCGTCGAAGCTTCCGTCAACGTCACGGTGCGGTCATTTCTGGGATGAATCTGGAGCTTCTGGATCCTCCAACATGATGAAAGAAGCTCAATAAAACATTTCACATGTCAGTAACTGACGTATAGATTAAAACGCAAAAGCTCGACAGCTTCAGTCGTCTCTCACTTTAGTGTAAAATGGGGGCAACCAAACCCTATTCAATTATAGGCCGTTTTATAACTCTGAACAAACCCCGAATTTCTCGGTCATTATTTTTATGCCGAATTAAAAATAACACCCAAATAGTTCATACAGACCAAAAGAATCTTTCCAAAGAATTTTCTTCCTGCTTAAAAGCTGGATGGAAAATTAACTTGGTAGAATTTTCAAGGAAGTTCGTCGCTCCGTTTTGTCAACACGACGGAATCCTGTTTCCGGGGATCCAGGTCCGTTCAGCGGCCAGAACCACATTCAGAACTCCGTTGACTTTACCGGCACTTTAACTTCAGCCTGTCTGTGACGGAGCTGGTGGCTGAAGCGAACTCACCGGGTTTGATGTACATGTCCTCCATGTTGGACGTCAACTAACAGCCGCTTCTTCTTCCCGGGAGGGCGCTAGGCTAGGCTAAGCTAACTGCTAAGCTAAGTGCTAAGCTAAGCTGAAGACTTAAAGCAGCACTGAGGGCTTCAGGTGCACTTTTGCTGAACTTGACGGTGAATTAAACTGATGGAAAAGTGCAGCCGTGAGCAGGAAGTTTCACTGAGCGTCAAGTTCACCACATTTAACAAGGTCCCGCTTTCAAAGTTCAACCAGCGGGATCCTGGGTTTTCTTTTTATTTATTATACGTTTAATAAACGTTTTCACAGAACACTGTCGTTCAGCATCACACAGAGCAACACACATAGTTTTCTGTTGATGTTATGATGTTGTACAGTTTGATATTTACGGTGCGTCGACTCCACTGAGGTGTTCACATTCAGAGAAAACAAACTCTGACTGAAAGGTTTAACAACACAACGGGAATAGTTATTCCTTAAATTAATCGGTTTAATAACTTAGCTAAACATTAGCATCGCGTTAATCAGCCTCACAGCTTGATAAAAATAAAGACGAACTGTTTTAATTGTCTGGATGAAGGAAAACGCTGCTTATCGCTTCATAGTGATGATAAACTCATGCAGGCTTTTATTTTTGGAACAAGAAATGGCTGCGCTTCCTGCGCTGTTGTCGAGCTTCACGCGCTCGGTCCTTTAAACGTTTCCGGGACACGTGGCCACTGTGTCACAACAACGATGACGTCAGCAGAGAGCCAGGTTAAAACAACTAAACGAGCTTGTGTTGAATTTAAGGTGTAATAAATGAAACGAGCTGCAGGATGAGGAGCTGCTCTGAGGTCAGCTGCTCACTGGGACGCTGACGAGATAAAGTCAGGTCCTCTGTGGAGCCACGGATAAGATGGATGTCTGTTTATTTGACTAAAAACGTCCAACATGATTCAACCTGAAAGTGTTGCAGCTTTGATCTCATTCCAAATGGCCCTGCTAATGTCCTAAGAGTAGTAGTAGTAGTACTAGAAGTAGTAGTAATAGCAACAGTGGGAGAAGTAGGAATACTAGTAGTTGTAGTATTATGAGTTTTAGTCGTAGATGTGATATCATGACC